ACCGAGATAGTTTCAGTATCCGTTATTTGTTAGCGCGACCGAGAGACTGGTGAACTTGACTACTGCTGCAGTGACTAGTATTAATGATGCTGCTGCTGATACAAGTGCAATTACTGCGGCTAGTATTACTACTGTTGTTACTACTGCTGCTGCTACAAGTGCAATTACTGCGGCTAATATTACTACTGTTGTTACTACTGCTGCTGCTGCTACAAGAGCAATTACTACGGCTTATGTTACTACTGTTGTTACTACTACTACTGCTGCTACTGATGCTACTGTTACTACTACTACTATTATTACTGCTTCTACTACTACTTTTACTGCTACTTCTGCTGCTGCTAATATGCTTCTTCCTCCCCTCCTCCTTCTCCTCCTCCGATTACTGCTACCGCTATTACTATTGCCACTGCTTCTTTTGCTACTGCTTGTAATACTATTACTACTACTTCTACTACTATTACTGCTAATACTAATACTACCACTTTTGCTACCAATTCCACCACTACTCTTCTACCTAATTAGTCCTGCTGCTACTGCTACCGCTGTTATTACCACAACGTTGCTACTAATATTATTACTACCACAACCTCTGCTACAACCAGCTGCACCACTACCCCCCCCCCCCCCCTTCCCCATTACTAAACCATCCACGATTTCACCCCCAGGCCATCGACAACGACCCAGGATCCAGCGGAGTAGTGAGCTGTTTTTCCCGCCACCCAAGCTTCAGGACCGACCACTTCGGGGGCTACTACGCTATCATCATGAACGGGAGCCTGGATCGGGAAGTGGCCGAGAAGATCGATGTGACCCTTGTCTGCCAAGACGCGGGATCGCCGCCAAAGACGTCGTCTATAACGTTCCAGGTGATTGTCTCCGACATCAACGACAATGCGCCCGTGTTCAGTCAGACACAGTACGTGGCTAACGTCACAGAAGAGAACATCGTTGGCAAGCAGATTCTGCAGGTAAACATTCTGTCATTCACTATCTATTTTATGTTCGATCAATCAGTCATTCAGTTGTTTGTTTGGTCATTCAGTCAATAAATCAGCTGCGTCCGTGGCTAAGGCGATGCGAGTCTGACTCGTAATCCAGTCCTGCGATCGAAACCCATTGCTGGCTGCGTGGATTGGATTTTTATCGTGGTTTGGGACGTCGCAGGTCGACCCAGCCTTAAATGGGTACCAGAATGGCTGTCCTGGGGAAGTAAAGACGGCCGGCGTAATGCTGACCACATTACCCACCGAGTGCCGATTGGTCTGTAAAAATATGGGTGATCTTCCCATATGCCCGATGCGCTAAGGGCGTGTAAAGGGATCTTTACTTTTTTTACTTACATTCATTCATTCGTTACTTCATTTGTTCCTTCGTCCTTTCATTCCTTCACAGTCGTGTGCGGTTAGACGCTCCCCGAGGATCCTCAAGTCGTGGGTTCGGGTTCTCCTGAAGACGAATACTTTCCAAAGATAGCCTTAGGTTGACTTAGCCTTAAATTGGCACCAGGGAAGTAAAGGCGACAGGCATGAATTCACCCTTACTACCTACCGATTGACGGTTGGTCTATAAAATATAGGACTAGCCATTTTTGCCAAATACACCTGAAGGCGTGGAAAAGGGCCCTTGACTTTCGTTCGTTTATTTAGTAAATGCAGCATAGGCCCTCAATAGTAAATGCAGCATAGGCCCTCAATAGTAAATGCAGCATAGGCCCTCAATAGTAAATGCAGCATAGGCCCTCAATAGTAAATGCAGCATAGGTAGGCCCTCAATAGTAAATGCAGCATAGGCCCTCAATAGTAAATGCAGCAGAGGCCCTCAATAGTAAATGCAGCATAGGCCCTCAATAGTAAATGCAGCAGAGGCCCTCAATAGTAAATGCAGCATAGGCCCTCAATAGTAAATGCAGCATAGGCCCTCAATAGTAAATGCAGCATAGGCCCTCAATAGTAAATGCAGCAGAGGCCCTCAATAGTAAATGCAGCAGAGGCCCTCAATAGTAAATGCAGCATAGGCCCTCAACCAACTCACGACGAAGTCGTTCTGTGCTCTGTTGCGTGCAGCTCACTTCATTGCCTCCCCGTGTTTGTTAACTTCCATCGCTAGCTCCCTTCTGTGTTTGTTTTCTTTCTTTCTATAGGTTCCAGTGCAAAGTCATTTTATAGTAAGTTGACAAATTCGTGCCGATGTTCAACAAATTACATCTTGGCTGTAGTGGAATAAAAATGGATGCAATTTGAACATTATTATTTACTTAATTTTGGACGTTATGTCAGACATCTTTCCCGCAAAACAAGTAATTAGACGCATTTTTTGCTTATTTGAGGTCATAAATATACGATGATCCTTGCTGGATTGCCTTTTAAGAGTTATACAGCACAGTGTTCAAATGTAACCAATCAGCCTTTCACAAAAATAGATGTTTGTTGTGTTTGATGTGAATTCCACAAGTAAGTGAACAGTTTTAAAGACGTAACTTTCTGTGGTTAGGGTGAGGGCAATTCACGTTGGTATTATAAAGTGTGTTATGTTATCTATAAATATACAAGTTACGCAATTTAATTCCTTCTATTCTGCGCATGCAACAGTTCATGAATGTTTTTAGTTTATAATTAGCTGTTTTAGTTGTTCGCCATGTTTTTGTTCCATACAGCAGTACTGATTTCACACAAGAGTAAGATTTTAAGGTTTAATATTAGTTTCCATTTATGTTTACGTCCAAACATGCCCCATTGTTGTGCTTGCTTCACTTGCCCATAATGATTACCCATACAATTTAATTTTTTTACTAACGACGAAGTCGACGACATCGTTTAAAGGATGAAAAAGAAAAAGAAGAAGAAGAAGAAGAAGAAGAAGAAGAAGAAGAAGAAGAAGAAGAAGAAGAAGAAGAAGAAGAAGAAGAAGAAGAGTAACAACAACAATTGCAACAAGGGGGTGGGGGACGGAGACCAAAAAAGAGGAATGCGATAAGAACACAGACAGCACGTATACTCACTCTACCGATGGCCCCCCTCCCCAGCATCGTCCCTTTTCCTCTCCAATCCTGCTCATTAAGCCAGTTAGCCAGTCTGTCGAACCCCTGTGTACTTGTGGCTGCAGTGCCACTTAGTGGGAGCATTTAACACGCTTACCATAAATCTATTACAGGCGTCTCTGAGAACCGGTGCCTCCTCTGTCTGAGGGGCCCAGGATCGATCAGAGGAGGGGATGATTGACAGAATAAAAGGAAGCCAAGACAGGGTGAAAGAAAGAACTGTGGCATAAATAATTATAAACATAATATTGGTGGAGCGAAAAGCAGGGCAATAAATAATACGATGCAAACGAGAGACAGAACAGTGAAGGAAGTTGTGGGGCATATGTGAAAACAATCTGATAAAATTAAATGATAAACAGGAAACAAATAAATCATACGATGGAAAGGGGAGGAAGAAAAACAAAAGAATATGTAGTGGATGAACGGAGGAATTAATTTAAAGAAACAAAATCAAAAATATTAACCAATTAACGTGTCGTGACACTTAGTTAGGAAAACCGAGTCTAAGGAAGTAGCGCACTTGCACCGCCAGCAAGAATGCATTTCAGAAAGGGATAGCCGGGTGTCTGCTCTCTAAACACGACTTGAGACATGGGGTAGCTAAAACATATTTCTAATAATGTATATGTTTGTGGAAGGGGTTTGGCGCTCAAGGTATCTTAACCCCCATCTTCAGGCGCGTCACTTTTCACAGGGGGGCTGCGTGGTCTCGAAGCAGGGTGACCGACTCGAGTGCTAGAGGTTCCTGGTTTAATCCCCGGTAAGAGCGTGGACTTGGACTTCTAATAATTCCCCCTGGTCTCTGGGTAGTGAGATCTGACGCCAATCCCTGCCAATCTCTGTCAATCCCTTGGCAGTTGGAAATCCAAAACAGTAGCCTAACGGCGCTGCCTGGGCAAAATTTGGAGTTAAAAATCTACCCAAAGTATTTCAGAATCCTCGCCGGTGCTACAGAGCCTGTGCACTGTGTTGAGCTTCTTCAGACTCAGACTAAAGTTATAAGATAAACAAGGCAGTTCTGGGTTACAGTCGTCTGCATATTGCCTGGTTTTGTCCTGGGCAACTATTATGTAATGTTATGTTGAGTCTTTGAGTAAACAACTCACCATATGGCTTCCTCATCGTTTTTAGCGTTCACCTCTTGTGAACTCCAGCAAAAACTTTTCTTCTCCTCCTACTTTTCCTGTCATTATAAGGTGGAGGAGAGGCTGTCATCATCCTGGCGACCGAGGAAGGTCATTCCGTCTCTGGTCTTACTCCTCGGTGATCGTCAATATCAGTTGATGCTTCTGTCCGTCTTCTTTTTGTCCTCCTCGTTATGTAATCATTTATTTGAGTTCTTGAGTAAACAACTCATCATCTTGCTTCTTCTTCTTCTTAGCTTTTGTCTTCTTGTTCGTCTCCAGCTTCTTTCTTTTCTCATTCTACTTTTCTTCTTCATTATTACACTTCTTCTTCTTCTGCTCTTGTCTTCTTCTTCTTCCTTCTTCTTCTTCTTCTTTCACTTCTTCTTCTTCTATCTTCTTCTTCTTCTTCTTTCTTCTTCTTCTTCTTTTTTTCTTTCTTCTTCTTTTTTTCTTTTCTTCTTCTTCTTCTTCTTTTCTTCTTCTTCTTCTTCTTTCTTTCTTCTTCTTTCTTTCTTCTTTTTCTTTCTTCTTCTCTTCTTCTCTTCTTCTTCTTCTTCTTTTCTTCTTTTCTTTTCTCTTCTTCTTCTTCTTCTTCTTCTTCTTCTTCTTCTTCTTCGTCTTCTTCTTCTTCTTCTTCTTCTTCTTCTTCTTCTTCTCTCTTTCTTCTTCTTCTTCTTCTTCTTCTTTCTTCTTCTTCTTCTTCTTTTTCTTCTTCTTTTTCTCTTCTTCTTCTTCTTTCTTCTTTCTTCTTTTTTTATGTCATTATTATTACTCACTTGGTTAAACAATACAGTAGGCATTGTCACTGACCACTGGTCATCTTTACACAGGACATTAACGACAACTACCCAGAGATCGTCACCAGAGAGCTGAGAGTTCAAGAAGGCGGAGGCCGGATGAAGTTCGTGGGCAGGCTTGAAGGCTCAGACAAGGATTCTGGCCTCAACTCCGAGCTGGTTTTTGCGATGCCTCCGACTGATGACATCACCGGCCAGATGTTCAAGGTCAACCCTAACGGAGTGGTCGTGGCCATCCAGGAGCTGGACAGGGAGGCTCGCGATAAGTACATCCTTCACCTGGAAGTGCGAGATAAAGGCATGGATCCCAAGATGACCTCAGGTACCGTGACCGTCATAGTTGAAGACATCAATGATCACGCTCCAGTCTTCCTGTTTCCTAACCAGAAAAACTATACGGTGACGTTTCTGTGGTCAATGCCGGTCAATAAAGAAATCACCAGGGTACTGGCCACAGACAATGACCTGGGAGACAACAAAAAGATCTCCTATTATTTTAAAACTGGTAACAAAGATGATCTCTTCGGTCTAGACAAAACTTCGGGGATTCTCTTTCTTCAAAGAAGGATAAAAGACTCGGATGGGCAGCTTCATAAGCTGCAGATTTATGCTCACGATTCGGGTGTTGATCAGAGAGAGACTCATGCTGTGTTGGACATATTTATTGATATGACCAATGCCACATTCGCTGCTGTTGGGGATAGTAGAGGAGATGAGAAGTACATCCTTCTTGCTGGGATTATCGCTGGCGTGACTCTGCTGTTCTCCGTTATTGTCCTTCTCGTTATCTTCCTTATACGTCGAAGTAGCAGTCATAGACCCTCCTCTCCCGTAGATAAGCATCCTCAATGGCAGGTTGTCAAAACTGGGATCCAAGAAGAATGTGGAAAAGGAGAGGTTGAAAAGATTAACTGGCGAGGATCTGACATTGATATTGATGTGAAAGATTCTGAAGAGAACGGGGTGGGGGGCAACTACATACCTCATTCGCCACCGGATGTTACTAAAACCGGAAGTTATGACACAGTTAAGAAAACAGCAGATGGATGTCCTCCATGGAACAATGCCAGAGATGAAGTCCTTGCCGGACAATCAGAAGCTGGACCCGGGGTCGATCCATATCGAAAACAGGATTTTTACACGTTTTGTAAGGTGAGTGTATGTGTTTCTTGTCGTAATGCATCATTGTTTTGTTCGTGTCTGCTTTCTTTGTTACTTTATTTTCCTTGTAATTAGTTGTTTCATGCAGCTTTAAAAAACATTATATATATATGTATTTTTTATAGGAAACCTGTATACAAGATACACATTCTTGTGTTTTTCTGAATTTCCTAGCTCACCTTGATAAGAGTATCCTTAGTAAAAGACAAAATATATTAAGCAATAAAAAGTTACCAATTGCTGTGACGAAAAGGGAGTTAAAATGCTGTCTGGAACATGTTTGTTATCATATATATGCAAATCGGACATTGACAAAAACAGACAAGCCCAGAGCACCTATCGGCGGCAAAAATCCTATCTTTAAGAGAAATGTAAAGCGTAATATTGAATGATATCGTGATCTTGCATTGTCCATTACCTGTAGTGGCTTTTTTCATTTATTTTCTTTTTCTTCTTCTTCTTCTTCTTCTTCTTCTTCTTCTTCTTCTTCTTCTTCTTCTTCTTCTTCTTCTTCTTCTTCTTCTTCTTCTTCTTCTTTTTCTTCTTCTTCTTTCTCTTCTTTTCTTTTTCATCTTCGTCTTCTTCTACACTTCCTCTTCTGTTTCCCCCTCCTCCTTCTATTCTTTCCTCTCCTTCTTCCACCCCCTCCCTTTCTACCTCCACTGTGTTCTTTTTCTACCTCTTTGCTGGATGATAAACTATTTATCATCCTAGTCAGATAATTTCCCATACATGTTCTGTGCACCATTATAATGTTGGCACTTTACGAACCTAAGGTTAGTGAACGAGAATCCCACATGTCCAACACTTCTCGTCCTTTTTGCGATGAAAATTTTCGTTATTTGAAACCCTACTCTGGCTTTGCTAGGGGCCGCAATATAGCCTCTTCATGGTGATCCTCTCCACGGTGATCCTCACCGGCATGATGGCACATTGTGTCATCGGGTGTTTATCGCTTGTGTGATGTTCTGGTGGGGTAGAAAGTCAGTCAGCCCACATGTCCGCTCTAAAATTAAATAATGAAGAAGTTAGCTCAAAAAATATAATAAAATAAACAAATCAAAGAAGGTAATACATTTATCCATTCCCAAAGTGGCATAGCGAGGTCTGGAAAATCTTTGGGAAAAATTGTGTTGGGTAATTTTGGTAAAATTCATAATCTGTTTGAGTCACTTTTAATTGCTGGTATCATGAGGGTCAGTAGACTACAGTGGTTTGAAATGCAGATTACAGAGACAAAAAGATAGGCGGACACGAAAATTCTGACTAAAAGAAGACGAGACAGACCAAAAAAGTAGAGAGGCAAAGAGAAATATACAGGCAGACGTTAAAAAAAAAAAAATTCGAATTTTGACTTCAAAGAGAAAAAGACCATTCACAGAGAGACTTGGGGCGAAAGATATCTTCTTCTTCTTCTGCCTTTCTATCCCCCAGTGAAGCATAGGCCCTCAACCAACTCACAACAAGTCGTTCTATCCTTCGCTATTATATGGGGCTTTCCTCATGTCCTCCCCATCTTTCTAACTTCATTCTCCAGCTCTCTTGTCCGTGCGATTTTTGACCTTTCTTTATTCATATGCCCCTGTTGGTTCCAATGCAAAGACATTCTATGTATGCTGTTCTCCTGTTTTCTTAATGTGTGTCTTATTCAACGCCAGCGCATTTTCCTCACCTCTTGATCCACTGGAGCTTGCTTAGTTCTCTCCCAAAGCTCTATATTATTTTTTTTTATCATAACATTTAATTCTCTCTATTCTGCGCAGGCACCAGTATGAATGTCTGTAATTTATTAGTTACTGCCTTAGTTGTTCTCCATGTTTCCGCCCCATACCAAAGTACTGATTTGACATTAGATTAAAAAATGTTAAGCTTAGTATTTCTTTTAATTTCTTTTGACCTCCACAAATTTCCTAGTGCTATGAAAGCTCCCCTTGCCTTTTGTAAAACCGTATTACTATTTGCCTGATTTATTCTCATTAAATTAGAAGATCATGAATTTTTAGAACATGGGGAGGAGCAAGAAGAAGAAGACGGAGAAGAAGAAGAAGAAGAAGAAGAAGAAGAAGAAGAAGAAGAAGAAGAAGAAGAAGAAGAAGAAGAAGAAGAAGAAGAAGAAGAAGAAGAAGAAGAAGAAGAAGAAGAAGAAGAAGAAGAAGAAGAAGAAGCAGAAGAAGAAGAAGAAAAAGAAGAAGAAGATGGAGAAGAAGAAGTAGAAGAAGAAAAAACAAAGAGCACGAATAAAGAAAAGAGAAGGACTTGTACTTGTTTTGTCTGAACCCAGTTTGTTCCGTCCTCAACACCACAGCACTTAAATGACCCGAGGATGTCTACAGCCCCTAGGAACCCATATTAAAGTGACCACTGTCCACAACTAAAGACTGCAATATCCTGGACTTGTCCGGCACTTTGTGACCTCAGAAGTCATTATCTACTTGTCACACGTACTGTTTTATGTAGTCGCCCACTCTGACCCGGGGTACCGTCGTGGTGTAGCGGCTGGATCTCGCCTGTGAATCCGAAGGTCGTGGTTCAAATCCTGGCAGAGCCTGACTTTTTTTTTTTTTTTTTTTACACATGACCCTGTTTCCCGGGTCGACCTAACTTCAAATAAAACTAGGTAAAGTTGTGGGAGGTAAAGACGGCCGGCGTGATGTTGACCACGTCCGTTTGATGTGTAAAGCATATTTCCAATATGTCTGACTGCGTGGAGAAAGGTTCTTTACTTTTCTTTCACTTTGTTTCAAAGTTGCGCTCTCACAGACTACTCAGTTTGAGTTCTGTTAACGACATTACTTGCCCCGCTCGCTAGCGTAGTTGGATAAATCTGACTTCGCAGCGACCGGGTGACGAACTCCTTGTGGTCCGGGTTCACGCGCCGGGGGTAGGCAGAAAAGCCATATTTCTCCCAGATTTACGGTATCTGTCATGGAATCAAGACCGAAGGGTTGCGATAACCATAATACCGAGCCTAAGGGTTAACAACTCATGGCTTCTGGATAATTTTTTTTTTTTTTTAAACGACATTACTTGCGTCAAAAAGCTAGCGGCTCACACTCTGACACGTTGTTCTATCTTGCATTTTTTTTTTCTCATTATTCTTCTTCTGAATTCTTTCTTTGTTTCTAATCTCTCTTTCCTTCTTTCTTTTATTTTCCTCGTTCTTCATCGTACTTTTCATTGTACTGTAAGTTACTTTTTACTTATCCGCATCAACATCCTAGCACATCGGTCTGACCCATTCGTGCTCCGTCTTCCGATGCAGCAGCCATATCGGTGTCTCCGGGCTCATCGTGTCCAGTAGAAGTTACGTTGCATTTCTTCTATCCTACTGAAGTAAAATAAGTAAGGAAAGGAACCTGTTCAAGTCTCATTGTGCAGTTGTAACATGTGATCTGGACCATTTGGCCCTCGTTTGGTAATGTAATCACACTGGCTGCCTTTATCTTCTATGACAATCCTGTTATATTTTTTAAGCTTGCTGGACTTGAAGCCGCGGTTAGTTAACCCTAGTTCTACAGACCGGTAGGCGAGCATAAAGCCACTACGCTATCGCGGCTCTCCCTCTTATAGTACAATCAAGAAATAGTCCCGATACCTTTATGTCAGTTATGCTAAAGTTAAGGTCAAAGTTGAGATTATGGTCTCCATTGCAACGAGTTGTATCCCATATGGGCTCGGTCTCTCTCCTCAAAACGGTAAGCCCGTTTGTTAACAGTGTCGCACAAAGCACGAACACAGAAGCTCGGTGTCGATCCCTAGGATTTTTAAACAGAAATTGCACTGGTGAACCCAACAACCCAGCCGTAAAACAATCTCGCGACCTGTTTCTGTACTGCATAGAAAAAGGGTAAAGGGAGATGTGAACCAGTGTCATTGCACACGGTAATAAACCATAAGTGCTCTGCCACCAGTACGGACAGCTGATAGGTAAACAACTGTCCGCTTGTATCACTGTCCGCACGCAACTCCGTAGCTACAGCGAAGTTCCTCCATTTACCCCAGAGTGTTAACTCTATTTCCTAGAGGCTGGGTAAACCCCGGGAACTGCCTGGTTTCGAACACCAGCCATGATTCGAAAGCGACTCTCCTGTCGACTGTGGTACCACCTTGTGAGGCGCTAGAGGACAGTGTCGGCTGGGAGGTGGTTGGGGAGGGAAGTCCTTGAGATTGCTAATGCAGTCGATGTGTATTGTGCACATTAGGGTTATATATGGAACATGCCGCCGACAACGAAACGCCAATCGCTCTACCGAGAATTCAACATCCAGTAACCTGCACGAGAATAAAGCGTTTTAACCATTCGACCATCTCCTTGTATAGTCCTGTATTGCCTTTCGGCGTCAGATATTGAAGGGTATTTGCTGGTATTTCCTCTTAGGATATTCCACTTATCCACTTTCGTGGTCGACCTCTGGACCTGCTTCCATTATGTCTAAATGATAGGGTTCTCTGTGGTGCACTGTCTGGTGCTAGTCTTGAGACTGTCCAAACCATTTGATCTATTTGTCTCTTAGTGTAGTTTAACACTGGTTCCCTCCCAAATTCTTTCCTGATATCCTTATTTCTGATTCTATCTCTTTTAGTTACATTTATGGTTTGCCGCAGACATTTCATTTCTGTTGTTTCAAACTTTTTGTGTCTTTTGTTGTTAAAGGAGCCGCTGGGGCTCAGTGGCTAGACGCTTGCCTGTTGTTCAGAAGGTCGCGGGTTCGGTTCCTGGCGGGGCCCAGACTTATTTTTTCCTTCAAAAATGACCTCGGCTCCCAGGTCGACCCAGCCTTGAGTGGGTCCCAGATGCAGTCCTGGGAATTAAAGGCGGCCGGCGTGATGCTGACCACATAACCCATCAAGTGCCTTTGGTGTATAAAATATGGGTCTAGCCCTATATACCCAAAACGCGTGAAAGGCGTGGAAAAGGGTCTTTTACTATTACTTTTAATTGTGTTGTTAATGTCCACGTTTCACAAAAACACAGTGTCGATAAAACTATT